GTTTTGCCCTGTTGAAGCTCAAAACGCGTATGGTTCTTCAATAAAATCTTGTAGATTTTTCAGCGGTTTTTGAGCGCGCGCTCATTGTGGGCTCAATTCAAACGTTCAAAAGTAGGCAGCCACCTTAATGCACTGAGTATTAGAAGAAATACCTGGCTGGACTTCTGTTTTTTCTGTTTCTTTTCTTCTGACAATAGTTGGTCTCTTAATTCTTGTCACTGATGTACCTTCTTTGTCTTGTGCTTTTTCCTGTTGCTCTTGGTTTTGTTTCTTTAGACGCTCTCTTTTTTCTTTCATTATTTCATCAAATGACTTTATGAAAACGTTTTTGGGTTTTCCTGTCTCATTCTACAAGAAAATAATGAATAACTGTTTTAATGTGGTCATATCTCAGCTGATATTTGTCCAATTCTCGCCAAATTTGGTGTGTCAACATCTTTTCTGTTTGTTTATCAAATTTGTTAACCAAAAATATGATCAAGCCAAAATTAATTTTTGTGACTTCATCACTTACAGTAGGTATTTTATAGGTGAGTAAAGTTTTTCACTGACTTCTGTCAGTGAGACTTTGCAAGAGTGTAGTGAGGTCCCAGAAATTCGGACGGGATAAAACAGAATTAATTACCAATCCATTACCAAAAATGTTGGAGGCTACCACATGCCTACCCCTTACTACTGTGTCATGGACTGTGGATGGTTATCTAAACACTGCCGGGAACAACTTCATCCCTCATACTGGCACTTGATTATCCTTGTGCAATTTTATGACTCATAAATAATAAATTATTATTAAAAAAACTTACCTCATTGTTTTCCGACTTTGACTGAACGACACCTTTTGATGGTATATCTTTTTCTAAATAAAGCAGGAAAAACAATTGAAAATAAGTTCAATATAAATTGATGGTCAACAAAATATAAAGTCAAAGAGAAAGCTTCTAATAGCCAACTGATTTGAAATAATGACGTAGGAATGACTGCAAAACTAAGGGGTCAGGAAGCCTACGAAAATTAGCCAGTGAAAAATTCAAACACACCCAACCTTGCAATAAAAGTATAAAAATCATTACATATTGCAACAGTTATCAAGCGCTTATCATTTTATCATTTGTTGGTCTAGAAATCCATTATCCTTAATTTCAAGAGAAAAAGCGTCAACCTTTAATCTTGCAAAAAAAAATTAATTCTGATTCGCTAACATTTTTCTCAGATTAGCTGGAGATGCTTTGCATTTTTTTGAATCCAATCAAAAGCTTAAAAAAAACTTGTCCTTTTTTCACGAGTTTTCACTTAATAGCCAGTGGCTAACAAACTTGTGGCCCTCATTCCGTGATCAAATTGGAATTTAGGAGTTGGTTTTTGTGGAGGGAGGAAAACCAGAAAACCCTCGAAGCACAGGAGAGAACCAACAAACAACTCTACTCATATGCAACACCGAGCCCGGCGGGAATTGAGCTTGCGTTGCATTGATGAGAGGCAAGCGCTCACACTGCTATGCCACCTGTGCTTCATAGGTGTTGCTTACTTTTCTCCATACCTGCAGTTTCTGTCTTGGCCACTTTTCTTTTCAGCAACAGTTTACCTCCAGATTTTATGATATTAGATTTTGCTGTTCCTGCGTCATCTCTCTTTTTGATGCTAATCTTTCTGCCTTTTACTGGTTTAACATTTACCAATGTGCTCTTTTCATTGGAAACAACTTGTTCATCTCCAATTTTTGACAAGTTATCTGCATTAATTAAGTCTTTGTTATTTATTTTTTGTTTTTGGTTCATCCTTACTATTCTTTCCTGTTTTTCTTTCCTTATTTCTTCAAGGGTCTTGACTTTAATGGTTGATATACCTGAAGTAGCTTGTTTCAGAGCCGAGGCTTCTTTATCTGACTCTTTTGTTGCAATAATAGGTTTCTGAGACACGGTATTTTCATCTGATTCAATCACAATCTTACGAACTAGTTTTTTTGGGACAGTTTCAGTAGACAACGTACTAGTTTGATTGTCACTCTCAATTATACTGCGAATAATAGTCTTGGCTGTTCTTAGCTGAACTTTCTTTTCTGGGACAGTCTTTGTTTTAACATTAGAGCCAAGATCATCAGTTTCCTGAGGTTCAGATCCTTTAGATGAAACAGTAGACTCTGTCTTATTGACAGATACAACACTCTTAATGATTGGTTCCGGTGAATCATCATTTGGTTCATCACTGTTCTCTTTTGTATTTTTCTCAGCTTCCATTCGTTCTTTCTTTTTTTGAGCCGTTCTTTCATGTAGATTTTTCAGAGCTTTTTCTCTTAGTATTTCCTCTAAAGTTTTTACTTTAATATCACCATCACTATTTTCATTGTCAGATTTTTCTTTTTCTAGTGATTTCTTCCTTTCAGAGTTAGCACTGTCTTTATCTTCACTTGTTTTTCTAGATTTGCCAGGGCTGCTGTCAATATCTGTATAACATACCATGCACAAATAATAATAATATTTTAGGAATATAAAATAATAATAATAATAAAATGAATTCTTAATATAGCTTGTTCCACAAATCTCAACACGCTTTACAAAGCATAAAAGAAAAATACATATTTAACAATATTGAAACAGATAAAAAATGAAAAAGTCATGTGCAAGTCTCTGTACTAGGATATAAACAGGCTGGCAGCTGTAGAGCAAGAGAAAAGCAAGCTTAGGAACAAGAGACATAGCCCAATGTTTCTCTTGCTTCTCAAGTGCTCTACAGCTCCCAGAGTGTTTATATCACAGTACAGAGACATAAAGCAACCATCTTATATTGCTTTTAGAAAATATTACAACTTTGCATGAGTGTGTCTATGTTGTCTGATATAAAACATGGTAGCCAGCCAATCAGCGGACTCGTTATATCTCAAATATTTTATAAATAACATTACATAAAATAAAGGTTATAAATCTGGTGTTCTGACTGGCTGGGAACGTGTGCTTTATGAGAGCACACAGCACTCATGCACACTTTTAATTGCATCATTCCTATACAAAATAAAAGCTATCCTAATTCGTATTTTATAAAAGAAATAAAAATACTTTCATAATGTGCTGTATGCAGTTATAAAGCACTTGGCAAATGATTGGCAGAACATTTAAGAGGCGTTGAGAATTACCCCCTGAGTGTTATGCTTCTCTTAACATCGCTCTCATGTTCTACCAACCCCACATGCTGTATAACTCCACGCAGCACATAAGTGTGTTTTGCTATTTTTTCAACTTATTCTAGTATTTGTCTGCAAATATAGCCTTGACAATGAGATAACAAGCAAAATTATTTATGATTCATAAATGCACTTTTACCTTTGCTTCTATTTTTTTCTTTCTCTCTCTCACTTTGGCGTATTCTGTCCTTTCTTTTCTCGTGTTTTTTATCTTCTATGGATTACATATTTAACGGATATGAAAATGTAAGTCAGTGTTCCTTATTTTTGATATACACCAAATTGAAAAAAAATTTTCAATAAGCCTGAGGCATGATGACGTTTTACCCCAGACTCTATACCATAATAGTTTTTTAAATTCTTTCATATTAAAATTTTTGATTCCTTACGTAGAAAATACAGGAGCAATAGTCATAATTAAAGAACAAAAGCAGTGTGAAAAGTATTATGGTCTAGAGATGGGGGTAAAACGTCATCTCGCTTCAGGCTTATTTAAGGTCATATCGATGAAGCTAAGACCGAGGGGAATTCTGGGTATTCAATATATTGGGAATTTGGAGTGTTTGTACATGAAGAATGAAGAGTGACAAAATGCTTTGTTTGGTAACTTGAATCAATGTTTGAGAACAAAACTGTCATGCATAATATTAGCCTCATTAATTGTTTTATTGGAATATCTTTCAGTCTTAGCTTTGATTATTGAACCTTTTCAACCCAAAACATTTTTTTCAATTTAGTGTAGTCCAAAAAATCACATCCATATTGTCAGCCTATAGGGTACTCAAGTGTAACGTCAGGAAAAAAAAATGCAAATGTCACGTCACGGAAATATTAAATTTTGACTTTATCAATTTCAGACAATCAAAAAAGACATTAATCTTTACACACAAATTTGATGAGAACTGGTAAAATAGTAAATCACTGTTTTTCGGGTCTCTTCTAAACAATCAAAATTAGGAACCATAATACATTACAGCAAAATATTAATTTTGATAATGTCATCACTTAAGTACCCTATAATGTCTTTGATTAAAAGACGCAAGCCAGCTTACTTTCTCTAGATGATCTTGGAAGTTCATTTCTTTTATCTCTGGTATCATTTCTTCGTTTCACTTCTCTTCTACTTGATTGATGCCTTGGGCTACGAACCCGTCTGTGGGAATAATCCTTGGGCTTTGACCTCCTTTCTTTCTCACCATCGCTGATTGAAACATCGGAGTAATCTTTGGAATAAGCACAATAATCATTTATAACAAAGTGAACTCCATGTGTTCATGGCAATTTCTGTCACAGGGGAAATGTTATGACTTACTCATGAAAGGAAAGTCTTCGTCAGACTTACCTGAAGAAGTATAATCATCATCACTTTCATCATCATAATTATCTCTTCTTCCAATGTTGTCTTTATATGGGAAATTTCCTGAAGATTGTCATAAATGAGATAAGCATCATGCAATCACATGTCACAGGGATGGCGGGGGGGGGGGGGGGGGGGGGGGTCTTTGCTTTTCTTCATAAAAGATTAGGAGAGGGTAAGCCAAAATAATGTCATT